GATTAGATTTTTTTCTAGTAAATCTAATTGTGCAAAATGGTTGTTCCAAACATCTGAAAATGTTAAATTTCAATCATAAAGTTCACCTATACATCATCAGAATATACAGAACCCACTTCCTAACTATTATCACTATCTTTGTCAAATAGCTCTTCATAAGTTTCCATTTTCTAATACCTTTAAGATTATGAGTCATCTCAAATAAAAAGTCTCCATGTCAAAATAAGTCACTGAGGGAATGAATGCTAATAGTGTAATAACAATAAACATTAGTAGTATAATTTATTCTGAAACGAAGTTTCCTCTGGTAAATATCAAATAAGTTGTTACATTCTCAAAACTGGTCTTCAAAATATAAAAGAGAAGCTTAATTATTCAGCTGATTAAAATACATTTAATCTAATAAGATCAGTACATTGTTAGCTAGAATTAACCCAAGCCCCCTGAAATATTGATTTATACAAGCTTCCAGTCAAAATTCACTTTTTAAAGTCTACTTTTTATTTGGTTGGTAATAGTCAATTCAGAATGAGAACTAAGAGGGTTTTTTTAAACCATATTTTAACAAATGCTTGCCTGTTTTCAGCATCTTGATATTTATTCTTTATAGAATAAAGTACTTTAGCACTTATTCCAGTAATTTTTTTTGGCAGTGACTCAGGCAAGGAAGAATATGTAAGAAAACGCTCAATTAAAATGCTCTCTCAACTGGTTAAATAGCATATCTACATATGGCATGCATGAACCCATGTAAAACTCACATTGTTTAGGGAAGGAATGGTATATTCAATAAATGACACTGGGTCGATTAGAAACATAGATAAAAAATGAAAAAAAAGTCTTGCTCCTCCACCTAAAACTACACATAAAAATCAACTTTAGGGGGAGGGAGGGGAGAAAAAAAAAATCAACTTTAGATGTACTATAGATCTAAATGTGAAAGGTAGAATAATACGACTTTTAGAAGAAAATATGAGAATATCTTCATGACCTTAAAATAGGCCAAGATTTCTCAAACAGAACACAGAAAGCACTAACCATAAAAGAAAATATTGATAAATTAGATTACATTAAAAATAAGAACTTCTATTCCATAAAAAGTCACCATTAAGAATGAAAAGGGAAGTCACAGAGTAGGAGAAGATATTTGTAGGACATACCCAACAAAGGACTCTTCCAAAGATATAAGGAACACCTACAAGTCAGTACGAAAAAACAGACAACTCAAGAGAAAAATAGGCAAGAGACTGGAGCAATCATTTCATAAAACAGAATATTCAAATGGCTGGTAAACATATGAAATGAAAATTAAAACCACAATACGATATTACTATCCTCCCATCCAAGTGACCAAAATTTTCTTGGATTTATTTTAAGTGAACATATCGCCATTGTAATTTAAAAAAAAAAAGATAAAAAAGATACTTATTATGCATATGCTTCTGGAGAATTTATACAAAAATAACAAATACATGGGCCTTATCTGTCTAGGCAAAAGAAGAGTCTCCAGAAATTACATTCAATGGCCTGGGATTTTTACATTGAAAATACCAAGTATTAGCAAGGATATGAAACAAGTGGACCTCTTAGACATTACTGGTGAAAGAGTAAAATTGGAAGAGCCACTCTGGAAAACTGTTGGCATTATCTAGTAAAGCTAAACCTATGTCTCGCCTATAACCCGACGATCCATTTTTTGGAGGGAAAAGAGGCATATGTCAACCAACAGGTATGTACAAAGATGTTCAAAGCAGCAATACTTATAACAGCTTGGGAGGGGCAAATGACACAAATGCCCATCAAAAATTGAATGGTTCAATAAATTGTGGTATAGGCATACAATGGAATACTACACAACAATTCAAATGAGCAAACTACAGCCATACACAAAAATGGAATGAATCTCACAATCATAATGATGAGAAAAGCTAGATGAAAACAAAAAAAAAACTACATACTGCAGTTTTCATAAATACCTTATAATATACCATATATTTTATAAATATACCATTTGTATAAAGTTCAAAACTGGGCTGGGGTGAGAGAGGAATCTATGGTTTGGAAGTCAGGATAGTGGTTAACACTTGAGATGGAGCACAGTACTTAGAGGGGGGCAAGAGGGAGGCTTTGGGGTGCTGGTATGTTTTGTTTCTGGGGTGCCTGTTGTGTTTTCTTGGTTACATGGGTGTGTTCACTTTGTGAACATTCATCAAGCTACACACTTAGAATTTGTGCATTTTCTGGATGCTATACTGCAATAAAATTTAATTTATACTTTAAAAATCCTGTTGTGTACGTAGGAATGGGCCCATGGCATAATGTTAAATAAAAAGAAGGGTGCAGAGTAGAATAACACCATGGTCCCTATTGGGGGCGAAAGAGAAAGGAAGAAAATGCATGCATGGATAGTGGCTGACGGGATGGATGAGCACCAAATATTAACAGCAATTCTCTCTAAGCGTTGGTCTTCTTATTTTTATTTTTGGTACTTTTTTTGGATTTCCTTAAGTGAACATATCACCATTGCAATAAAAAAAAATAAGTGTTCTCTATACACTCCTGCCAGGATTTATACAAAAAGAATAAGCCAAATTTATCAACACATAGGCTTTATCTATATAGGCAAAAGCAGGAGTTTTAAGCAACTACCATTAATGGCCTGGAAAATTGAGTCAAAACATCAACCTGATGGGAAATATGTATTATATGAAATATATTATTGAGAAGCTGGGAAGTAAACTTGGATAAACATGGTCAAGAAATGACTGTCTCTTCAACGTCAGGAACTTCTCTCTTTAGGAAGTATCTGAAAAATTGCCTCATTTTGCCCATAAAATCCTAGCACATCAATAGCTCCCCTACTATTTGGGTATTTCAAATATCTCATCAGAGGTCCAGGGAAATGCATTTTTATTGCAAAAAGACACAGGATAATCCAGCTGCCTTTTAACAGAAGAACTCGATGAAAAAGTAAATATTCCCCCCTCCTCACGGTCTTCCTCCTCCCCCTCTGCTGTCTCTTCTCTCACGGCTCCCTCCCTCTCCTCTCATCCTCCTAGGACTGCTTTGCTCAGCCCTGGTGCCTCCTCTGTTTCCTCCCTTGCCCAGTTTGGTCTCAGTCCTGTAGATGCAAATGGGACTGACAGGTCCTAAGCTTAGTTCTCCTAGTGTCCTTGAAACACCAGCTGAGTGAGAGATTTGCCTCTGTCACTCTAAAATTGGAAGTGCAAAGAGATAAGAGAAAGTGAACAATTATCGGTTTCTTCCCCCTCTCCCAAGCTCCGGCCCCTCCCCCTCAGTTCCCCAACCCAGGCCCTGCTATAGGGCGAGATGAATGCAGCTGCTAGCGCTGAGATGCTAGCTGTTCACACGGCCCAACACTTTTCACGTGGTAGGTCACAGAGCAGTAGGGGAAAGGGAAGTGGTGATGCAATATCTAATGGCCATGCTAGGGGTGGGGGTCTAGAAAGTTAAGAGGAAAACTAGATGCAGGCAGTGGGATGGAGCTTGTACCCAAGTGGCTGAGAGTGGCCCTTCCCACTATAGCAACAGAAGGTGCAAAAGCAGGTGCCCTGCACGTTACAAAAAGAAAAAAAGAAAAACAATAAATGCTTGTACAAGTGAGATTACATATATCTAAGTTATCTGAAAACCCTGAAATTCTCCAAATATCAGGGATTCATTACAATGATGAAGATAAATGCTTTAGGGACTTTCAGAGCAACTCATATATTTAAAAAGAGTGTAAAAACTCAGGAAAATAAATAGGCATCCCAGAAATTCCCCCAACAGAAACTCTGAAAGCTGCATCTAGACTTTCCATTTCACAGAGACAAGGAGGTACGGTGGTTTCCACTGTGCCTCAGAGAAAGGAACAGAAAGGTTGCCTCCTCTCAATCTGCAAATATCTGAAATCCCCCCACTGAGGATTGTGATATGAGGCTAGAAGACGCAGAGCACACAGGATGAGACTTCAGGCCAGAGCCAGGAGATCAAGAATCTGCTCACGAAAGAAGCACGGGAAGCTGCTTTTTTGGCTCTGCTGGCACCCCAGCCCCCCAGAACAGAAACTCAGTAGACTAGGATTGTGCTGTGGCCAAGCATTTCATGTCTGAGGGGGTTTTGGTGTGAGGCAGAAAACAAAACAATTTGATAGGAAAACCAGGGAGGCAGATGAAAATGACAAGGTGGAAGAGGGGATGCCAACTGCAGGGGGGTGACGGCCAACAGGTTGAGAGACAGACTTTGAGGGGTAAAGGAAAAGAGTGGAAGGATAGAGGGGAAGGAGGAAAACCTCCCCAGAAGGAACAGAATTCACTGCAGAACACAATCTGAGGTCCGTATCTGAAATTGTTCAGGCCCAAGAGCTGTGGTTTGAGATGCCCTTGTTATACTGGGCAGAGAGTTTTCTTTTTAAATGAACCAGAAATGACCCAAAGGATTTTTGTAAACTTTTTATTATAGAAAATTGAACATGCGAAAAAAGCGAGCAGAATATAATAATGACTTTCATGTACCCATTACTCTGAATCAATAATTACCAAATCCCGGCCAATCGTGCCTCATCTACTTCCAACCATTTTCCCCCTTCACATAGGTTTTTTTTTTAATTATTGTGGTTAAATATACTGTCATATTAGTTTAAAGCACATTCCACAAATATTACATTATGTATCCCTAAAAAACAAGGATTCCTTTTATTCTTTTAAAATAACCACAATATCAACATTATACCTTAAAAACAATTTCTTAATACCAGGAGATGTTTCCTTTTTCTCTTTTTTTTTTTTTAATTTATTTTTGGCTGCATTGGGTCTTCATTGCTGTGCTCAGGCTTTCTCTACTTGCAGCATGCGGGGGCTACTCTTCGTTGTGGTGTGCGGACTTCTCATTGCGGTGGCTTCTCTTGTCGCAGAGCATGAGCTCTAGGCACACGGGCTTCAGTAGTTGTGGCACACGGGCTTAGTTGCTCCGTGGCATGTGGGATCTTCCCGGGCCAGGGCTGGAACCCATCCACATCACCTGCACTGGCAGGCGGATTATTAACCACTGCGTCACCAAGGAAGTCCCAATATCAGAAGATATTTCTAAGGCATTTCTACATTAAAGTCTTCTCTCCTGTTGCTGTACGCAAAAGCACTTGTGCATTTCAGAAGAGCTTAGAAGAGTGAGAACAAATTTTACCAAGAGAAGGGGCCAGGAGATGAAGCTGTAGCAGGAACCCTGGGAACAGCAAAGATCCAGCAAAAGAGACTGTATTTGATGGTTTTTCTTATAATACTGCTCTTTCTGAGGCTGTGAAATGGGAGACAAACATGTTGCAGGACTTCATACATCGCTCTAGAAAACTCTGCAGCAAATCAGTAGAAATGAAAAGCCAATATTTGAGCTGTTTTGATGACCATAAAGAATCAAGAGACCGAAGTAATGGGAAAAAGGGTCTTTTCTGTTCTGCCTATCTCAAAGGTTGTGAAGATTTTGATGATGCATCCCCAACCTAAAAAAAAAAAAAAAAAAGTCTATTGTATTAAAATAGCATGTGCACCATAAGGTATTTTAAAAACAGATATCGTTAGAGGATGAGATTCAAAAATAAAGATAGAAGTTCTCATATTTTTCCCATAGCCTAACAAATCATCTTAGGCCTCTCCCTTTTAGACCGCTGCACTTGGCTGTCAGTTCTCCCAAGAGCAGTCCTTGAGTGGGTGACAGGGAAGTCAAGGTTAGCAGATTGAAAATGACCCTGGCGATACCTGTACAGAGAACAGTAGAGGTCAGTGGTCTCAACCCTGCGGTACATTAGAGCGAGCCTGGGAGACTTTAAGAAAGGTAGACACCCAGGCCCAACCCCATACCAAGCAAATCAGTGATTCTGGAGTGCAGTCTGTGTTTTTTGTTTGTAGGTTGGTTTGCTTGGTTTTCTTCGTTTGTTTGTTTTGGGTTTTTTTGTTTTTTAAGTACTCCAGGTGATTCTAATGCATAGGCAGGGCTGGAAAAACCACTGCTATAGGTGTTTTTTAAAAAAAATCGTTGCTTGGGGCTTCCCTGGTGGCGCAGTGGTTGAGAGTCCGCCTGCCGATGCAGGGGACACGGGTTCGTGCCCCGGTCCGGGAAGATCCCACAGGCCGCGGAGCGGCTGGGCCCGTGAGCCATGGCCGCTGAGCCTGAGCGTCCGGAGCCTGTGCTCCGCAACGGGAGAGGCCACAACAGTGAGAGGCCCGCGTACTGCAAAAAAAAAAAATAATAATAATAATAAAAAAATCGTTGCTTAATGTGAGAATATTAGCTCTGATTGTAAAGCATTCTATTCACTACTTCCCATTTAAGAGTGGGGGAAAATATTTTACTGTACATTAAAGAAAGGGTACAGGATAGTGGGAAGAAATGAAATGCAGAGAAACTTTTAAGTAAAAAAGCATACCTAATAAAATAATAGTGAGGTTCTCTCAGAAAAGGGTGGTTTCCATTTCCATATCCCAGATTCTAATTTATTACATCTTAAACTGCTCCAATTTTGACAGACCTTATTTTCAGTTAACCCAGAACACTCATTCTATTAGATTAATACAATTATCTGATGACTATTTCAAATTGCAATCATGGTTATTTCATATGTCAAAATAATTAATTCAGGCTACTTAAATCTTTTCTGTTTAATCAAATTTATCTCTCAATTGGGAAGGAAAAAAAAAAAACCTGACCTTAAAAAAATAAAAAGACATTTTCTATCTCTGAGGAACTGACTTCATCAAATTATCCTGAAGGGAAAAGCAAGTACAAAAATGTGAACTACAGGCAGCTGGAAAGCAAAATTGTGTACAATGAATGACACACCAAATCCTGCAGGAAAATACGTCCCACAATACATTATTTCCTGTGGCTTCCTGCCTGAGGAACACTGAAGAACAGTAAAAATTCTTCCAGAAATTATTTCCTCAGCTGTCTCATTGATGGATTTAGCATAGGTGTTTGGTCAAAATGTTAAATCATGGTCAAATCCAAACATGCATATTTACCAATGTTTATATATCTAATCACAAGGGCCACTTGGTTCCTTAAAATGAAGCTTAAAAGAAACTTGAACTGGATTCCATTTTATCACAAGCCTGGAATGCTGAAATGCTGTGACAAAGCGATCAATTCATTCATCTGAGTGAAAAGTCTGTAAAATCACAGGCCTTAATTTTCACATCTTTAAATGTCACCATTTTACCAATTCCACAAAAGTTATGTAGACATGATTGTACACGCTAGAAGTAAAGTTAATTGTCGTCTGCAGGATACTTAAAATCAAATGGGCAATCTAAGTTTATCTTATGATGTTTAAAGAGACTAAAACGAGCTGGTTCCACAAATTGCTGACACGATCAATTCTGGGGAGTCGCGAGAGGACCGTCTGATGGTAGCACATACCTACTGTAGATGGTATTGTGCATTAGACTGGCCACGGGGAATCTTCATTTAACTAGGGATAGTTGTCACAACACACCCCAAGTTATGACAGATAATCATTCCAATAATTAATATCCTTATATAATATGATATAGTGCTTTACATTTTTAAATGACTTCTGATTCCTTACCATCCCCTCCTTGAAATGCTTATTGCCACAGTTAAGTAACTCCATAGCTCCCTCTTGGACTACTACCTATTCTCGCACCTCACTCTAGCCCATTCTCATTGTCATCAGTGTTTTCTTGACAATCCATCTTGGAGCCTGTCAGTCATGTTACTTACCTATAGGATGTCCTACCTCTTGTTTCTTATCTCCACCGCCCTCCCATTTTTACTCCTTACCCTAGCCACATGGAGCCTCATGCCATTCCCCGAACACACTTTGGTTCTTAACTCTATTCCTTTACCATATACCTTTCTTCTGTCATCCTTCACAAATGTCTTCAAGGTCCCCTTTGCCTGACTGGAAAACTCTCACAAGGCTTTCAAGACCAAGCCAAAGCTTCACCTCGTCTGTGGGAGCCTTTCTGAAGAGCCCCAGGGTTAGTCTTACTAGTTTTTGTGCTGTCTTAACCTTCGTACACTGTCTTATTGTCATCTTATCATCATTGTCTATTTCCAAATCTAGGTTCCTCTGCCTCCACCATCATCCCTAAATAGAAAATAAGATCCTCCAGGCCAGCTACCCTGTCACAGTCATCGGGTGTCCTCAGATTGCAGCAGGTTCTCAATTCAAGGAACCAATGAATCTAGTTGATAAATTATTGAAAGGATTTTTGTTCCTGTTTGAAGTAGAGACAAATGGAATAATACAAAGGAGAAACTCAATGCTCTTTCACCTAGCTCAAAGGTGAGAAACCTATTTTACTGTGAACCAATTCTGGAAAGATTAAAATGCTTACTGGCTGCTTTTTAAAAAATGTATATAAGATGAAAATATTTTTATTGACTGAAAGAACCACAGTGTGAAAATAGGCACTACTGTCATAGGCAGTGAACTGTTAATACCTGTTAAGAGCATATTTGAGAGACAGCAACACAGAGATGGTTGTTGTTATTGTTGTTGTTTAATCTTTCAACTGGAAATCCATTTCAGGCAGAATCACAAAGCTGAGGAAGTGGCAAGTGGATCTTCATCAGCCAGGATCATTTATTCTTGGCATCTGGATTAGGAGGACCAGAGGACCATGTGGTCCTTATTCCTTAGGAGGACTTTTCTTCAAAGGCTGACTTTTCTTTGCCATCCTCTCTCTATAAGGGGCTTCTTCAGCTTCTCTTCCCAAGTGGGTTCTTCTCCACCATTCCACCCCGCTGCCCTTGTGAGGCAGGTGCTAGAGTTAATACTTAACAAGGCAAAAAAAGAAAAAGAAAGTTGCTCTTTAGCTGCCTCACATAAATAATACCCTCAGGGAAATACCTGTATCTATGAATGGTTGTTTATAAACTATGATTCACAGGTTCTCCAGGGGTTATGTAGCAATTTGGGAGATCGGTTGGATGGGACAAGTTTTGACTATTCCATCACCTACAGGCCTTGAGCATTTCTGAAGTCTTCTCACGGTACCAAATCACATGTAACACATAAACACTCAAGTTGTATCTACAAGACATCAAAATAGCTATATAATTTGAGCAAATCAGTTATTTTCAAAGCATATCCATTTAGAATGGGAGAACTGGTTGTTCTGCATCATTTTAAAGGTAAAACAAGAATGTGTGTGTGTGTGTGTGTGTGTGTGTGTGTGTGTGTGTGTGTGTATACATGGGACTAATAATCTACATTCAACAGTCTGGCATGGCTTATATGCAGTGATGGAGTAAGGCCCGAGTTGCATTGCCCTGGCTCATCTTCTGGGTTCCTTATTGCTCTATGGGTCTCTGGCAGAGGTGCAGTATGAAGGGCAAAACACTGGCTTTGTAGACACACAGACCTAAGGTCAACTCCAGCTCAATCATAGGCTACTTATGTGACCTCAGAAAAGTTACCTAACCTCTCTGAACTGTAATTTCTCATCTGTAAAATGGGGCTATGTGATACCCACCTCATAGCAGTAGTGAGTAACTAAATGAAATTATGTTTGTGAAGCACTTGGCAGATATTCAAAACATGTCAGTTCCTTCCCCTCAGAGGTAGTAATCTCCTCACAGGCGCAGAGGAATAATAATTTGAATATTTGTGTGTGTATATATATATATATATATATATATATGTATATTTTTTAATTCTATACTTGATTGTAGTAGAGTTGAATAGGTGCCATCATAATATGTTTCGAATTATTATTGCTCTGTCCTTCACACCACACTTCGGCCAGAGGCCCACAGAGTTCTAAGGAACCCAGAAGATGAGCCAGGGCAATGCAACTCAGGCCTTACTCCATCACTACATATAAGCCATGCCAGACTGTTGAGTGTGCATTGTTAGTCCCACGCAGGTCCCGGAAAGGAAACACCTCGTTTGTTTAGAAGCTCCTTTAGGTCAACCTTTACTAGAACACAGCATTAGCCAAAATCCTGACTTCACAAATACAACAAGCAGTTAGTTGTCACTATAAGAAAAGACAAATTTCCCCAAGTTTGGATATTATTAGGTGACCTCCTAACTATATTTTTATGTATTGATAATTAATTTGATTTCTTTTTTGTTTGCTCGTTTTAATCAAAGTGATACATGCACATAGTTTGAACAATCCAATTTATACAGTTTGCTGCAAAAAACAGCAGCCCCTTGTGCCTCCCATTAGCACCTTTCTCCCTACATCAAAGGCACCCATATTCAGTGTTTTTAGCTATTTTATTTTATTCATTTGATTAGTTGGTTGGTTGCTGTTTTTGATGTTTACTCCCAGAACTTTAAGTATGCTATATTTGCCTATATTGCTAATTTGATTTTTTGAAGTACAGGCATATGCTAAGACTTCTCACTGTGGAATATAATACATAGCTTTCTTCCACCACCCTCTCCCTTCCCATCACACACTTCCCCCTCCTCGTCTCTTCATCATTCCATATCACCAGATCATAATTTTGGTTAGATTAATACTTACTGTTTATGTTAGAGTCGGTATATAAGCGGTATTTATTGGTAAGTTCTACCAATAATTCTTCTTCCTTTCTTTTTGGCTCCAACTTGTTTCCTTGCAGTTGGTTTTTGTTTGTTTTGTCAAATATTCTGTGTACTATCATAAACTGAACCTCAAACTCTCCATCAATTTGTTGAGCCTTTTTTCTGAAAATGTTCAAATGCATTAGAAATGTTTTGATTTTCACCTTCTTAAAGAAGACTCTCCTTGAATCTTGTAAACTGCATCAGCGAGATGGATGGTCCTGGACCAGGTGCACACTGGCCACCCAGGCTGTCCCTTCCCTATCTCCTGGAACTCCCTTTGCCTGGATGCTGGATCCATTGTCTTAACCTATCTTGCTTCATCCTCTCATTTTGGTGGAGCACATTTGGAGTAGCTTTGGAGAAAGGGTGTAAGAGTGGTAAACATTTTTTGGAACTTACATGACTAAAATTCAACTTGTTTTCTGTTTTTACATTCCCAAATTTCTAACCTTTAATTATTTTCTATATCCTCTGAATCTCATCCACTTTGTTAAAAATCTCTTCAACTGGTAGGCCCAAGACTGACAGGAGTATTCCAGTAACAGTCTGGAGAATGTAATGCAAGAATTACTCTGTGATTCCTGAATTTGTACTCTAAATTCCTTTCTGCCACAGTTGCACATTGCAGTTATCGTACATTTGTCCTTCCTGCCTACATGTGTTCCTATTTAGGATTATCAACTCTCAATTTTGCCAAGGTCATTTTGAATTCCATTCTTATATTCTGAAGTGTTAATAACCCTGATACTTAGCATCAGCCATAAACTGAGCTTCATAAATACCATCCAAATTACTAATGAAGTACACACGGTACTTCTAGACCCTCAAACTTGCTGCCTTCTCTTCTAATGGCTAATTCCAAAAGATTCCAAACCATTAAACATGGCAAAGCTTGATACATATGACATAATTGTTTCTTCATAAAGAAAAGAATACTTTGATGGTTGAGTTTTAAATCTGGGGGACTTATCCTGGTATTTTCGCAATGGTGTTCAGCTTCTGCTTTTCAAAGGCAATCTCTTCCCTTATTTAAAAAACTAGGTGGTACATAATTCTTTTTCCAGACCTGAAGCATTCATTCTGTTAATACTAAACAGATATAATTAAAGAGGCAGCAAGGCATAGTAAAAGAGCACTTACCTGAAGAGTGAGAGGACTAATGTTACTAGTGTTTTTTTATGATCCAATATTTGTTGGATGTACTAATAATCCGATATCTATTAATCCATCAAATGTGTATTGAGCACCCATTAGGTTCAGGTACTGTGGTAGGCACTGGGGCTACAGAGTGAAAAGGACAGACACGATCCCAGCCTTTGCTAAATAGAACCACAGATACTGAGCAAATAATAACAAGTTGACCATTACAATAACTTAACCTCTATGAGGCTCAGTTTCCTCGTGAGTAAAATAAAGAAAATAATAGTACCACCTCATCAGTTCAAATGAGGTAATGCAATAGAAAAACTTCATTAGCTCTCTTTTGTTCCAGACAAACTACAAACATCTACTAGCTATGATTTCCTAGGGGCAGGGAGCATATCTTACTCATCTTTGTAACCTCAGCAAGTAGGCAGCGCTTGTCAAGTTAGCAGGAACTCAACACATGTACAGAGCAAACGACAACTCCGAAAGAAGATCAATCTATATTTTCACGCAATTACAGGTCTTTTCATTTTCTCACCAAGGTTATCCACCCGTTTGTGAACTAATGAACTTTATGTAGTTCAAAAGCACAATGTAATTTTATAGTAAAATGTTTCCACTTAGCATGTATTCATCATTAATGTATATATGTTTGAATAACTGAAATAATGTAACATTTAAATTTTCATCTATTCCATTTCATATAGCAAGCAATTTTTCCTAAAATAATTTCTGAGGGTGGAGTGCAATTTCGGGGGTGTTTGACAAAATTATTTGAGATTTTAAAAGTACCTAAATAGGACACTCAAAACAAGTCAATTACTTTAAATTTCAAAATGAAATGCTAAAACATTTTTTTAAATTTGACTCTCAAGCAAAGTTTCTCAGCTTACAGAAAAAATTTTTAACATCACTAAAACACATTCAAATAAGTGTATGGAAATGTCAACTGACCTGCTTCCCAGCAGGTCTTCAGGATCAATGGACTTTAAATCTTTGGATACTAAAATTTGTATAGCAGACAGAGAGTTTTACCATGGAAGGTAATTCCTTCCATATTGGCTTTATTCCCCCAAAAGGCCTAAGGGATAAACTGTGATTTCTGTTCTTCTCATGGAACCACACAGTGGAAGGGCTGGAAGGGGGTCTAGGAATTGTCTGGTTCAGCCTACTTATTTTTCAGAGGAGGAAAAACAGAGGCCCAGAGAGGTAAGATGATTTGCCAGTTGCACAGCTGGGATTAGAACCAAAGTCTCCTCTTCTCTGGCACAGGAAGTAGCAGCAGTCTGCTGAAAACATTGCCTGGTATCCCGGGAATTTTCTTGTCTGCTGTGTGGAGATAGTTTGACCCTGGAGAGTCTAATTCCAAGACAGTTACACATACATTCCAGCTAAAGATGCATCTTCATTTTAATTGAAATAGAATGACAGACCCAACACTTCCAGTTGTTTTGTTTAAGAATAGAAAAATAAAATTCTCTATCTCGTATCATAAACGCTCTACTCCTTAATATAAGCACACAGAAAGTCCTCCAGGGAGCCTTATTCAACCACAGCAGAGGTTCTCAACATATCGGCCTAATTGACTGGCGTAACCCAAAGCCTGTGCTGGTCCATTGCTTCTTTCACATGGCAAGGAACTACCTCCTGCCAGCTTTCTTCCCCACTCAAGAACCTCACTAACAGCAACCCTTCTCCTCAAATTCATTCATAACAGGTTTAACCCCTTTCTCTTGGCCTCTCCTTCCACTGTCATGAGATCTCAAAACAAAACAAAAACCCAGAAAGTAGTTACTGTTCACGAGTTTGGGAACATCTAATCTTGGTGGTTCATAAATTATCAGATGGAGTCATGGCGGGAACATGGACCTGGGGAGTACTCAGATCCAGTTCTAACATGGTTCTGATTCTAATCTCTTCAGGAAGTCCTCAGTCTCTCTCAGGTTCACTGTCTTCATCTCCAAACTAGAGGTGATTCAATGAAGACACATTTAAGCGTCTACCACACTGCCTGGCACATGTTAAACGCTCATTCTTTTCAATCTCTCTCTGTTGCTCACTTCTCCATTTTCAAGGAACCCCGCTGAATATGCAAGTACTGTCATTCATTATACAATTCTTTCTACTTTTATGTATATTGGAATTTTCCATTATAAAAAAGTTTTTAATAAAATAATTTAAAATGATCTTTTTTGGAGGTTAGCAATGTTAGTAAATTCAAATACTCTTTCAGTCATGTACATTTGGGTAATAATACATTTTAAAAAGAAGAATAATGTAGAAGCTAGAGAATATCATGTCATTCAAACTGAGACATCTTATAAAATATCCGATGTTCTTAAGGAGGTTTCATTCTAATATATAAGCTATATGGTAAGGCTATATTAGCCAACCAAGTTAACTATTACGTATGAAATATTATTCTGATTTTGTGTATACATATTTGGAAAATATTTTTATCAAAAATATTACCAGGGCTTCCCTGGTGGCGCAGTGGTTGAGAATCTGCCTGCCAATGCAGGGGACATGAGTTTGGGCCCTGGTCTGGGAAGATCCCACATGCCGTGGAGCAGCTGGGCCCATGAGCCACAACTACTGAGCCTGTGCGTCTGGACCCTGTGCTCCGCGACAAGAGAAGCCGTGACAGTGAGAGGCCCGTGCACTGCGATGAAGAGTGGCCCCCACTCGCCGCAACTAGAGAAAGCCCTCACACAGAAATGAAGACCCAACACACCCAAAAATAAATTAATTAATTAAAAAATATATATATTACCTATTTCTCCTTTCAGTTTATGTAATTCAGAATAATTATGGGATTAATTACCCCCAAATTGGGTATCTTTTCAAACAAATTGGTTTTGCCATTAGTTGTCATATGTATGTAGCCTGAATGTTGATCAATAACTGATAAAATCATGTTCAGTTTGATACATTTAAATAAAACTAGTGGGTTCATGGTTCAGAAGAAATATTTGTTTTTATTTTTTGGAAAGTACTATTCTCCACTTAAGAGGCAATATTTTACCCTTTGTGATAAAAGCTCATGCTTTTTATCTAAGCTATAAAATATAAACATTTTAATCCATGGTTCTGTGTTTCTTGGGAACAATGTGGTTAAATACTTAGGGCCAACTCACTTGTTCTCTCCAAATTTCAGTTTCCCAAGTTAGATAAATAATAATACCTTACATTTATAATAATACCTTTCTTTTAAAGAGTTCATAATGCATAGGACTACTCTATTTTTAATTCTGGAACATTCCTGTAGACTTAGTTAAGGGCATCTATTAAATGCAGTTTACCAAATAGGAACCATGGCCATGGGCTGAGTGACTTGTCCAGGGTCACACAGATATAGGGTTATAAGGGTCAAATGATATGACACATGGCAAGAGTTTGACAACCATAAAGTGTTACATGAATGCAAGTTATGATCAGAGACATGAACAGATTCATAATGAGTTCTTACAGTTATTGACTGCCATTCTCAATACTCTTTTCCCTTGATTTTCTAGCCAAAACTAAAATAATACCTGCCACCAAAATTCTCTAAAACATAGTGAGGAATAAGGAGAAACAGGGAAGTATACAGAACTCCGTGGAAATATGGTGCCATGTTATTTTTATGGATATTAATAGTGACCCTGCTATTGAAATAGCCTCCATGATTCATCTATTTATTTTTTAAGAATAAAACAATTAATATACTTCAATTTTTTAAAAAAAGAATAAAACAATTAAGTTTGGAATTCTGACCAAATTCTAACTTGGGGCTTGACTTTCAGTACTTCTGAATATCTCTTGCTGCATCTACTCAATTTCCTAATTGATTAGAGAATTACTGAGAAATCTTGTAGTGCATTTTCAGTATTTGCTACATGATGCTCTCTACACAGCTACAGAATATCAGCAGAACTTGTATTTTATTCTCCCTTATTCTCAGAACTGTTTCAGAGTATAATGAGCTGCTTCAAAGGGGTCCGAAAACTTCTAATGAAAGGTGTTTAGGACATGCCAAATACCATGGTTGCTATGAAAATTATCAGCCAACTAGAAACATTAGCTATTTTATGCCAAAAACAGTGTTTTAACAATGATTCATTTTTAGTCATTAGATGATTATTCTGAATTCTTATCATCTTGAAACTACATTGGCACCAAGAAAAAAAATATGTTTTCAAATTTGGCTTATTTTATGTGATGGTCCCATCTCTCATGTACCAACCATAAATTCTTTGCCTTTGGGACTGCAAGTGCTTCAGGATGTAATGGAAAGTTGGTATCACATGGCAAGACATTTGTTCCCATTGCAGAGTGAGGCCAGCTCTGAAATTCAAACCCTAATGAGAACAAGTATGTAAATGAGAGCAGCCAAACCAAACATGAAGAAAACAAAGCCCAAGGAGTCTATAAAAGACATTTTTTCAGCCTAGGTATTCATTAATCCATAGCACTTAGACTCTGTGAATTCAAAACAGAGCCTTTTTTCCAAAGTTTGTTACTATAGTGACATATCTATAAGACCTACATTTAAAAAAAACAAATAATAAGGACTTTTTAACCCCTAGAGTGGCTCTATTTATTAAATTTTCCTGTGTAAAGGAAGTGTTATTTAAACTAGACTATTATACAAAATATTTCAATGTGCCTTGAATTAAATATGATTAGGAATGGCTACTGTCAAAGAGTGTGTATTCTTAATCAAAATTTCAATCTTATGGTTTCTACAGAATACTAAAGATACTGTATTCTCAAGGACTTCTGCGTATGACCCAATATACATCTTGCATATTTTCTGAAATTTCTGCAAAAAATAAAATTGCTTCAATAAAAATGTTTTTAAAATCTTTGTCTAATAATTTAAATAATTTCTTTTTCTTTTTCCTTTTTTTTTTTTTTTTGTGGTACACGGGTCTCTCATTGCTGTGGCCTCTTCCGTTGTGGAGCACAGGATCCGGACGCGCAGGCCCAGCGACTGTGGCTCACGGGCCCAGCCGCTCCGCAGCACGTGGGATCCTCCCGGACCGGGGCGCGAACCCATGTCCCCTGAATCGGCAGGCGGACTCCCAACCACTGCGCCACCAGGGAAGCCCTCTTTTTCCTTTTATAGATACATGTTTTTGCAGGGAATTTCCCACTGTTCCATGATTTTAGGCATATTTATTGTTTTACTTTCATAGTATTGAATGAAAATGTAAGATGTTGTAAAAAATGGAAAATTCATTTATTTATACAATATCTATTGAGAATCTAATATGCCAGGCTCTATTACAGATCTTGGAAATACAAGAATGAACAAGACAGGTAAAAAGCCCTTGACCTCTTTGGAACAATCCATTTTAGTGTAGGAAGGTAGACAACAAATAAGAGAAGTAAATAGGGCTTCCCTGGTGGCGCAGTGGTTGAGAGTCCGCCTGCCGATGTAGGGCACACGGGGTCGTGCCCCGATCCAGGAAGATCCCACATGCCGCGGAGCAGCTGGGCCCGTGAGCCATGGCCGCTGAGCCTGCGCGTCCGGAGCCTGTGCTCCGCAACGGGAGAGGCCACA